CGTTCCTTCCGATGGTCTGAGAAAGTGGACTTGCCCACAAAAGCTCATATTAAACTATAGCTGTTGGTGATCTCCCAATTTTGAGCCATGGAGGAAATATCTCAGGTGAGTCTGAAAGAGCAGTCTGTTTTTTCTTCCATGAGTTCATTCAGCTTGAAATAGGATAAAAGTTCTTTGCAGATCTTAAATTGAATATGAATCGTTTAAAGAAAAGTGCTGCTGCAACAACAAAAACAAAGCTAGACAGCCGACAAGCAAAAATGCAACTGCAGAACATTTTTAAAAAAATCTACTGAGTAAAGAAACAGGAGAGAAATATGTTTCCATAGCTGTCCATCATTACCTCAGTTAAAATGCTATAAATAAAAAAAAATAGTGTAATAATCTCAGAACTTGCAGAGCTGGGGACCCTATGGATCTTCAGGTCCAGAATACATTTATTACATAGTATATTCATCTGTTGTGTCTCCACAATCAGTGCTGAAATCACAAATAACTATGTAATGTGATAATTATAATTATGATACTTAACTAATAGTGAAACCATCCTTAGAATGAAACACTAAAGCCTTATAAATGCCTCTAAGACCAGCTCTCTGTTGTCCACTATTACGGTGTTTTTAACCTTACTGTTACTGCTCATCATTACATGCATATATCTCCGTTTAAAGACTTCTTTTAATTAAAAGGAAAAGTCAGAGATATCACACCTTTTCCAGCTGCTTCCTTTGCTATTAAGAACACAGCAGTGAGGAGATTGGAGAGGTGTCTAGCAAATATCGTTACATTCTCAGTGTATTTACACTTGGTGAAGCTTATCTATTCCTTAATGGAATTTAGTCACCCCTTCATAATCACAGGTAAACATTAGAGAAAGTCTAGAGACTAAAAGTCATTGTCCAGAGCAGAGAAAAAGGCAGCAAGAGAGATAAATACCTTTTCACTCAGTATCTCTTGTTTTCCCCTAATTAGAAATTTAGATTAAAAATAACTAAAAGCTTTGACTCTAAGTCAGGTGATGCATTACTTAGGCAACATCTGCCGTTCTTTGAAGCCAGATAATACTTGCTTTACTTGAGTGTATGGCAACTCTGCTTTAGTTGCGAGTCATTGATCATTTCAAACTAAGATGGGAGGAACATGAGGGACAGTCTGGAATTAAGTACTGTAATGCATTGAAGGAGGGGGACCAACTATTGCATGAAAAGGCTGGCTGATTTCATTCACTTTTTTTAAAGTATTACAAAAGGACATGGGGCAGTGCTTTGAAAACAAGTTAAATACGGCTCAGTAATTAAGCACCTTCCTAAACCTAACACAGAGTTTTCCACATGCCCATGTTTTTGCTCAGTGAATGTATATTTCATGTAGGTCTGCAAGTTTTTCCTGCAAGTTTTCATTTCTGTTCTCAGCGTGCACTCATTCTCAATACTCAAAGGTGCCTTTTTGGTTCTTTCCGTCAGAAAATCTATGGTTGATGTGTTGGATATGGTTCCATAAATGTCATAGATATCAGACAGTTTTTCACTCACAAAAGACACAGCTTCCCTGGATTATACTTGTTTCACGTACACGCACACTCCGTTCTTTTTTTTTCTATTTTAATTCTTTGGAAGGGAACAAATTAAATACTAACAATGTTGTGTTTCTTGCTTGGGTTTGTTATTTTTTTCCCTGTCCTTCTGCTGTGTTACAGTTACTGTATTGCCCAGTTGGTTGGGTGTTACACATGCCTGCTGAGAGCATTGGCTGGCTCAAGATCACCACCTTCCTTCCTTCCTTTTTTAACAGTCCTTTCTTCTAGAAGTGGGGATAATATGGAAAAAAATGTTCAGTCACTTTTCTGTCCAGTTTATGAAAAATAAGCCTATTTATTCATTGCCTTTCTGGTGTTTAGCCAATTAATAAAGCCATCAGCAATTTGACATCTTCAATCAAAGATGCCATTTATTTATAAATATATACATTAGAGTGATCTATTATCTCAGTTCCTGGATAAATTTTGCAGTTCTAGAAAAGCCTTATTTGTTTGCAGATAGCTGAAGTGTAATTGATCAAGTTGTCTGCAGACAGTGCATAGAAAGTTAATGGAGCTATAGGAATGAGTATGTCTGTGCACAACACCACAAAGTATCTTTGCGAAATCAAGGCAACATTTGCCTGTACTGGAGTAAAATTTCAGTGTTTGAAGTACCACAGGCACTGCTGTTTTTGTTGAAACAGATGTAACATGGCAGAATTACACAAAACTGCAGAACTGTATTTCCTAGACTATAATTCTCAGAATTTCTAATCCAACATGAGCACTATTGATCATGCCGGCTGGGCATTCTAGTCCAAAATCGGAATCTTTTCAAGCTCTCCTGTTATGAGTCCTACTGGGTTTCCAAACAAAACAGCTCCAGAATTCTGCAGCTGACATGGTTAGTGGCCAAATTCCAGATGTTAGACAAATTCCAGAGTTGATCCAAAACAGTGACATATCTAAGCTTTGCAGGAACCCCATTCCTTACTGTGGTCAAGCCTATAGTCATGGGGGGGGGGAACCACAGTTAGTGTGGATGGCAATATAGAAGGGATTAATACTTAAAAGAAGGAAAAAGTATAGAATAAATGAGTTGGTAGGGACCTATGAGGCCATCAAATCCAATCCCTTCCTTGATGCAGGAAACCAATTAAAAGGATATTTGATCAATGGTTGTCTAATTTTATCTTGAATGCCTCCAGCATTTGAGCACTCAACACTTCTTGAGGTAATTGGTTCCATTCTTTTACTGCTCTAACAGTTAGAATGTTTTTCCTGATACACAGGTAAAATCTGGCTTCCTGTAACTTGAGCCCATTATTACATATTCTTTACTCTGGGATGATCAATAACAGATCCTGCCCCTCCTCTGTGTAACAACTTTCAAGTATTTCAAGAATGCTGTTATCTGTCCCCTCCGATTTCTTTTCTCAAGGCTAAACATGTCCAGTTCTTTCAGTCTTTTCTCATGGGCTTGATTTCCATGGCATTGTTGGCCTGCACTCTCTCATGTAAGTCACTAATAAAAATGTTGCAGAGCACCAGGTCCAGGATTGAGCCTTCTGGTACCTTCTCCCAGTTAGATAAGCACTCTCTGAGTATAATTCTGTACCCAACTCCATGTCCACCCGGCAGTTTTTTTTATCCAGTTCACACCTAGTTAGGTTGCTAATCAGAATAAGCTTTGCTGAAGTCCAGATATATTACATCATTCCCATTAAGCCACCAGGGAGGTTACCCAATCAAAAATAAGATAGGATTAGTCTGGCAGAGTTTTCCTTGACAAATTCATATTGGCTGCTACTTTTTACTACATTAATTTTAAGGTGTTTACAGTGAGTTCTTTATAATATTCTTCTGAAGTTTCCCTGGGATTGATATCAGACCGATTGGGCTGTAGTTTCCAGGTTACTCCTTTTGGGCCTTTTTGAAGATAAGAGCAGTGTTAACCGTCCTTCAGTTATCCAGCAGTCTTATGATTTAAAACAAGGAAAGCAAAAGAAGAAGAAACAATGGTTTCTTCTATACTCCTGGATGCAGAACGTGTTGAAAATAATACCGTATTCCCTGACTATTTCTTTATCAATCTCAACCTGCAATCATACTATGGAAAGATAACATTAAGTGGAGGTGGGGGATATCCTGTAACATTGGGGTATCATACCAAACACCAAAAAATGACTTTCTTGATTTCCATGGAAATAGCAGTGTTGGTCTGTTGTAACAAAAGTGATCAGTGTCTTTTGGCAATGTAAAGCCCAACACATTTTATTTGTCCATAGGCATTTATGAAGTGTAGCCCACTTCATACCATGCATGAAGTTTTGCTATTGTACACATGTTTCAATGAGAGGGTATAATCCATTAATTAGATACATTTCTGAGTGGGAGAGTATAATTAATGGGGTAAGGGGAAAATGAAATTTGGGATGTAGAAATATTGATCCTTGCTTGAATTACAGTCATTCATAAACAATACTTCAATGTTAAAATATGCCTGAGCGTAGATATGACCTGGAAAATGAATGTGTTTTGATGGAAATCAGAACAGGACAAAGAAAGTTAAACTGGAATATTTTCTGGTTATAATAAACTACGTACTTAATCTGTATTCTTGAAGGCAAGCCTACAGAGGCTTCCCCCTCCTTTTTCCCTCCTTTCCTTTGCTCTTTGTCCTCGTTTTTCCTTGCATTTTCACCTGGAAATCATGCAGCAGTGTGTCACTTTTGTAAGCTTTTTGTGCATTTCTTCTGGATCTGTAGCATTTTTTTTCTTGCCATCAGCAAAAGCTGGTGGCAAAAAAACCAAAACCTGACACCATTCTGATGAGAATACAGTACCATTTTAAGCCCCCCCCCCCCCCCGNCCCCCCCCCCCCCGGTGTGACAAGATGTCATTATTTGCTAAGACTATGTGATAAGTGTAAGCGGCCACTTTATACGCCACCCCTCATTTCCCATTTGTCCACAATAACCTTGTAAGGTAAGCGTTAGACTTTCCTGGCTCTGGCTCAGTGGTTCTCTCAGGTCATTGTTTAGTAGGAAAATGATGCCAGAGCTTAAATATATGGAGAGCAAAACAACACAGTAATTAGTGTAGAGATTTGCATAATATGCAAATATGTGTTATATGCAAACAGTTGTTAAAGTGCAATATGTAAATTTGCATAATATGCAGTTTTTGGCAGTCCAGCTTGGGAAAACTGGAATATGGCAACCCTACCATAATGCTGACTTGGTTTTTAAGAAAGGTTTGTGAGGAGGTGCAGTCGTCCCTCACAGCTCAGGTATCTCCCTCTCTGTCTGTTATGTGCCAGTCTTGTATTATTGATACTGAATGGAACTTTCAGACTCCAAGGCTTCAGACATCCTTTCACCGAGCATAGGAGGAAACCTTGTCAGTGCAGGGATACATAATTTACTGAAGTGTAAACTAATTTCCTTTTGTAATGCACAGTTTTCTTCTTTTAATTTAGGGTCCTCTTGGATTGGATGGCAAGCCAGTAAGTAGTGCTCTAAGTAACAATTCATACTATCAGTTTAGGTCCTGTTGCTTCACAGAACATAAATAAACTGAAAGTATCACTGTTCAGCTGGGCTGTATCAGGGAGTATACCGTTAGATATACTGTACTATAATGAGAAGCTGTCTGCTGAACCAATTTTGATCTTGTTAGCATAACACTTGATTGATCTAAGCCATCTGAAGCTCCAGTCATGGATGAGAGTTTTTGCAGACATTTAATTACCGTATCTGCCGGTGTATAAGGTGACTGGGTGTATAAGACGGCCCCTCAACATTCCCACTCAAAATGTAGAGTTTGTTATATACTTGCTGTATAAGACTACCCCCTGTTCCGCATGCGTGGTTCTGCTTTGGCTGCATCATGGGGAGAGTTTCTTTTGTCCCTTTTGGTTCCTTTTTGGAGAGAGCCAGGGTTTGCTGGAAGAAGGAACAGCAGAGAGGCGGCAGCCATTTTAGAGAGGCAGCAGCCATGGGGTCGCATCTCAAAATGGCTGCCACCTCTCTGCTGTTCCGACAGTCAGCTGTTCGGCACTAGAGTCAGGCTGTTCCCAGGCTAGGAGCGGGGCTCTACTGAGTCTTACTACCAGGTAAGTGACTTCGCTGGGAGAGAGGGAGGGTTTGCTAGACATGCCCCCGGTGTACAAGACGACCCCTCCCACTTGGAGGCATGTTTTTCAGGGCCAAAAAGTCATCTTGTACGCCGGCAAATACGGTAGTACATAATCATTATATACATATATTGTTATGGTCTTTGTCCTCAGAGTGCCAGTCTTCCAGGCATAGGTATGACTTCTCACAACTTTCAATTGAATGTGGAATTACGGTACCACAGGATTTTGTGATAGCCTTCCATTTGTTTGTTTTCAAAACTGAGTTCATCTAATCCTAACCAGTGATTATTCCCAATGCCTCTATATTACCTACAGCCATATCAGAGACCTCTGAATACTAGCTGCTAGGGAACATGAGCAGGAAGGTGCTGTTTCCAGGCTTCCTATGGCACCTGATTAGCCACTGTATTAACAGTCAGTGTGTCGAACACTTCAGCAAATACAAGTCAGATAACTGAATTCTCTTCCACATTTTTGGGAGAACCCCTTTATGAAGAAATTTAGAAGGCAGGCAAAAGGTTTAAATGTCTACAGAGCTTTCCAGCTTAGATATCCACAGAGAAAAGGGGAAAGCTATAAGCATAAATGGTGATATTTATTGTTTGAGCTAAAGTAGAAGTGTAGATTAATGAGCAATTTGCTTATTATTCTCTTGTTGATCTCTACAGGGGCCTCCAGGACCAAAAGGGGATAAGGTAAGATTATTGTCTCAGAACATTCTTTAAATTCCTCATAATTGTCTCATAAAGCTTCTAGTAAGAGAAGTCATGCTGTTAAATTTTCAGTTTTGATTTTCTTCCTTATCATACTGGTATTCATATACGATAATAGAGAAATCAAAGTGAACTTCTAACATGCCGCAAAAGCATGCCTCGCATTTGTCATTTAAATATTCTAAATAGCACACATGGAATTTTAAGCCTGGCAATTTAAAGCAGGTTAACTGTGTTTGAAAATCTCATGGTTATCACACTAACCACAGCCGTGTATCCCCACCTTTTTAACAAACACTGCAATACTGCTCTTGGTAAGATAAACAATCCTGAATCTGGAATTCAGCTCACTCTCTAAAAGTCATTAGTAGAATCACTTCATAACAATAACCCAAGGTAAATTATTAAGATCACCAGGACAGAATAAAGAAATAAAGTTGCAAATCCTATTTAGAGTGGGCAAAACTTGGCATCAAAGCCAACTACCATCCGTGAACTTTTTATATGGGAGCAAACTAACCTAACATGATTGATACCGGTATATAACCTTTAATCTTGGCTCCCATTTGTTTATTTCACATAAACACTTCTTTATTTCAAGAATTCAGAATCTCATTGGTTGGGCTTCCTAATTTGTTTTTGGTCTAAGTAAAAAAAAAGTCTAAAAAGTCTTCAGTTTATTTTTTTTTTCTGTAAGCTCATGTTCTGTCAAGCTCTGATCCCAGATACTTGCTGAAACTTTGTATTTTTTTTAAAAAATCAGTTTTAAACTCCAACCACTCTCAAAATAATCATCCCCTTTGGTTTTTCTGCTGTATTGCCTCCTGTTCGCAGATTGCCAAGACTTTAGCCATCAAAGTTGATCTTGAATCACAGATGGACTCACTGTTTTGCAGTGCAGTGTGAAAATATGTTTGCTTTCCATTAGAGTACATTTTGACTGACTAATTTTGATGTGATTTTTAATCTTAATGTATTTTTAATTGTTTTTTAAATGTGGTGTTTATAAAGTCTTTATAAATTTCTTCTTTTATCTCTTGTGACCCATTTTGGATCCCTGATGAAGAGAAAGGCAACAAACAAACAAATAATATAAATAAATAAATTAAATATCCAAAAATACCACTAGTACTTCAGTTTTTTACATCTCTTGAAATAAACTCCAACATGTGTTTCATATATACACACTACTTAATTTTCACTCTTGACTCCAACAATGCCATTATGTGCATTAAATGAGTGAAGAATCTCCAAGACATCATGGAAGTAAGACCAAGGTAAACTATTAATTCATGAAAACTCTACATGTAATTGGATGCCCTTTTTATTCAATAAAATTAATGTAATCTATATAGCAAGAATAAATAATGGGAAAAGGAAACAAATGGAATGATTCTTGTGTTTTGTAGGGCGATCAAGGGGATGTTGGTCCAAGGGTAAGTCCCATTAATAACTATGAACATACTTTAAGTTTAAATGAGAGTTTGAAAAAGATAAAAAAGGAAACCTGTGAATTATAACACCATCATGACTTCCCCTACAATTGCTTGAATTTTAAGGAAAATATTCTATGTATAACAATTAAGTTCCTTAAAGGCCTGACAGCTACAGCTGTGTTGATTACAAATCCCTTCCAGCCTAGTAATGTTAGAAATTACTAAAGTCTACCCTCAATTTGGCCCAATTCTTTGTTGCCATGCTGGCTGTGTCCCTTGGCTGGAGGAGAGTTGGATCTGGCATAATTCAGCTGTTTTCTCACTCATCTCTTTTCTGCTCCCCCGCCCCCCGTGGCTGATCATTCTGTTGGCAAATTTCTGAGATCAGGTAGCACAAGGGCAGTTAGCCTGAACAAGGACAGTTGTCCTGGCAGGAGAGGCTTCTCCCCATTTCCAATTCATTAAAATTCATGGATCTCTGAGTTAGAATTGCACTATTATGCTACACTCTTACATACACTTGCCTCCATTAAACCCAATGAAATCAGTAAGGGTTACTTCTGAGTAAATGTGCATATGATTTCATTGTTTAATTTCCTTCCATGATTGTAATCAAGTTTAATACCTCATAATCTCATTTGATTATCTTCATCCAAAGCTATCCTTATACCTCCCTCTTTTTTCCTTCCTTATTATTACATTATCACTCCAGGATTTGTGGAGGGGGTCAGTTCTTTGTTGCTTTGTAGAGGTATTTTTAGTGGTGTAGAGTTAATAGAGTATAAGATTACAGTGGTGGTGGTGGTGCAGATGATGATGAGAAATAAAATGGAATTTTGGTACCCTAAGTCCTGTGTATACATTTGAAACTCCAGGCCCAGACATGCATGAGCCTCAGCTGGATAAACTGTTTTAAAAGGTAAAGAAGAAACATGTAACAATAAGAAAACCGATCAGTGAGCTCATTTCGTATTTTTTTTCTACTTTTGATTCTTGTCCAGATGGAGGATTGCCTCATTTAACTATAAAAGAATTTAATCAAGTTTTCTTGAAGTCGTATGAGCTAGCATATGGACTTCCTTTCTTTGACTCATTTTATTTGTGCATGATTTAACTGGACTGGGAGAGAGTTCAGTAGAAATAAGTACATGTTTCTGCATTCAGTGAACTAAAAAAAATAATTTTTATTGTTGTTTCAGATAAAATTACTGTATTGTTCTTTCTTGCCCGCCCTCCCCCCATCCTTCTGGGATTTACAGTCAAGGTTATTATGTGTCTTTTTGTGCATTTATATAAGGAATGAGCATTGAGAGACAAAATATCTCAGTGGTTAAAAAAATAAATGAAATTAATGAGGTGCTCTAGAAATTTCTTTAAAGAATATTGTTTTTAATACTGAAAGGAATAAAGCAGTAGATCAGAAGTCAGCTGATAAATAGAGTGCGAATCTCTGTGATAACAGACATGCATTTTAACAGCATGAATTAAAAAGAAAACTCTTGTGGGAAATGGTAAAACAGACTGCCCAGGTTTTCCCTGTGGTCCTAGAAAATTCTGAAGAATTTTAAAATCCAATTAAATTTCACAGCCTATGTAACAAAAATGCTGAAACTACTTGTGTATTATATAACATGTCAGATGCAATTAATAAAAATACATGCAATATATTGATTTTATTTAATTTAGGGAACATTCATCCCAATTATACTCAATAAGTGTTCAGTCTTTTAGAAGTATAGGAGGAAGCATCTATCCTGTGTCATGATGTGACTACATAGTGGGAAAAATCCACATGGATCTACTGTGCTTTTGGGAAGTCAGATTTCCTCAGGTGAATTCTCTGTAGCTAAACACACAGGGATCAGTAAAAGAAATTAGCAATCAGTCCTTCTTTGCAGTCTTTTGAGGCTGCTTCTTTTGTAGCCATCCAGGTTTGCAGGAGACAGTGCTACAGCAGAGCTATCTTAGCAAGCTACAGTGAAATCGTAATTATCAGTTTCCTGCTGTGGCCAAGAGCGCCTTTTTACAGCTTTGGTTGATTGCCTAGCTGTGCCCCTAACTGGAAAAAGAAATACCCAACAGACATTACCCACAGTTTTTCATGTGTGGTCGAATAGACCAGATGGGCTGGATATCAATCAATCAATCAATCAATCAATCAATCAATCAATCAATCAATCAATCAATCAATCAATCAATAAATAAATAAATAAATAAATAAATAAATAAATAAATAAATAAATAATATCTAAAATAGATTGTTGTAATACTCTATATGTAGGGCTGCCCTTGAAGTTAGTAACTAGTCTAACAGGTCCAAAATTTGGCAGCCAGACTGATTACAAATACCAGCAGATACATTTCCACAGTCTTGGCACATCTTCACTGGCTGTTAGTTTCCATGGCCAATTCAAGGTGTTGATTATGACCTATAAAGTCCTGGTTGAGGACCTCAATATCTCTCTCCCATAAAAGAGATACCCATCCCACCCATTACATTTCTCCCAAGTTTCCAACATATGTTTGTCAGGTACCTGCCCTCTCAATTTTTAAGAAATTAGTAAAAGCTAACTTTTATTAGTTATTTTACTATCTGAGATGTTCAAATCCGTTTTAATTTGTTTAATTCTATTTAAAGATAGATTTTAGCTAGTTACAGGGTATTATGTATTTTTATGGTATTTTTGATATAGTATTTTGTATTCTATAAGTGATTTAACATGTTGTGAACTTCTCAGAGAGTGTGTGCACTATGGGGCAGTATATGAGTGAGTGAGTGAGTGAGTGAGTGAGTGAATTAATTAATTGATTGATTAATAGGTACTCAAGCACAATAATAGCATTAGTATCAAGCCTTTAAAGAGAGAGAGAAAGAAACAGCATTATTAACAAAGATGTTTGAAAGGGACTGATGCTTGGGAACAGTGGAGTCCTTTCCCTTTACAACCGAGGGAGCTGGAGAACTCACACACTCCTTGCTGCCCACAAAGCTGTTCTCTGTCATAACACATGGGACAGGGGCTAAGAATGCAACCTGAGATTTCCCCCACACACACACTCTCACCTCCCTTTGAAACACTTAGTCTGACCTTTCTGCACTCCACCACTGTTTAGAGGACTGATTGACAATTTTCTCCTCTTCTGCAATGCTGTTCTACATCGGCTCAAATGCTTGCACCACCTGAACCAATGTAAAGCCATTCACTTGCAAAAAACAAAGAGTAGAAGCCCCAGCAGCAGAAGAAAACAGTACTGTACTGTATTTATTTGGGAGGAACTGCAGGATGGTTTGCACTGACTTAAATGGGGCGGGGGGTGCGCACTCTGGCGACCCTAATAGGGCTTCAAGGTCAGTGAGATATTGAAGGAGTGGTTTTTATCAGTTCCATCCCCCCCCCCCATGGATTTCCATGGCCAGGTGGGGATTCAAATCTTGTTCTCTAGAGTTGTAGTCCAACACTCTCCACTACACCACACTGGGAATCCTATATACATTGCGTAGTCAATGCAAAATAATACAAATCTGACCTTCCCAATCCTGGCACAGTGCCCATATTGTTTGTTGATGTATATACCCCCTCTGTCAGTGAATCTATGGCATAGAATTCTTAAGCACAAAATACTCCTTAAACAGCCCTAGACAGCCTCTGTGCATATGGAAAGTGCTTTCTCTTTCCTGCTGTGCTGAGAAATAGCTGTCTTACACACTATGAATTTGGAAACAGTTCTTATCAAATGATGACATCTCTCCTAGTAAAACTTCAGCTTTTCTCTGCAGAATTAAAGCACCCCTATTGTAATAAGACTGCAACCAGAGTGCATACACTAGCTCAGTGATGGTGAACCTATGGCATGCGTGCCACAGCTGGCACACAGAGCCCTCTTTTTGGGCACGGGAGCCATACGTTGCCATTGAGAAATACTTACCCATCCCCTGATCCCGGATTTTGTCCCTCCCCTCTGCTGGTGCAGTGGTCCAGTGGAGGGGTGCAATGGTGACCATTACCGGTCTAGCCCAATGGGGGATTGGTGGACTGGTAAGTATTTATTTGTTAATACTGCCCATAGGAAAAACAACAACAAGCATTTAATCCTTGCAGTGCAGGAACAGTTGTTGGTTTTTTTTAATGTCAGTGTTGGCACTTCGAAATAATAAGTTGATTTTGTGTTGCAGTTTGGGCATTTGGGCTCAAAAAGGTTCACCATCACTGCGCTAGCCTACTCCCTCCGCACAACAATCCATATGCCATTTTCTCTATCCAGCAGCTTTTGCCCAAAGGAGGCGTTCCTCTCCCTAATTTACTTGTTAAGGGCCAGTTCTGCTTACCTGTTATCCTCTAAACTTAATTTGTAAAAAGACTTTGCCAAGGACTCTTACTAATACCAGGACAGCGCCCTAGGAAGGGAAATCAAAGTACAGTATCTCTAAGCATGTTTCTTTTCTACGTCACTGAATACTCGAGGTCTACTATTTCCTTTCATTGTTAGTATTCACTTGAATGTTTCCTCTGAGCAGAGTATGTGTTAGATTTGGTATAGATTATCAAGAACTCAGGAGGTTCCTGAGCTTCTCAGACACAGAAGAGCCCTTGCAGAAAGGGATACAGAAGTAATTGGCCCCAGAAGGCTTAGGAATTGCACAGCAGTGCTTTGATTAGATTATAGATTCTTTTCATTTTATAATGTAAAATGCTGCCTAGGCCCCCTGTTAATTAAATTCCATTTCCTTTGTGATCTCCTTAGGCTAGTACCACTTTGATGAAAACTGGGACATCCCCATCACTATCAGTTACATAATCATTACGGTGCAATCTACAGTGAAACGTATTCTCCAGAAAAAAAAACATGTTGCCTGTTCCTTATCAGACGAGTAGGGTAGCTCACTTTCTATAATGATACTGCTGCATTTGGAACCATCTCATAAGAGAGGTTTCAGAGCCTTCCATCCGTTTGGTTTTATGATCTACGTCCTATCTTCCTAGGAAATTTTGTGCTAGTTA